CTTAAACATTTTTTGTCATTCTAAATATCATGTGACATATTTATTAATTGTATTTCATTGTTATGTATTCACAGGAGTGAAAGGAAGTCCCTGTTAATCAACTGTGTCCTACTGAGCTCAGGAAATATGTCACACAAGTAGACGCTTGACCTCCTGGCTTTTTCCTCTAACTGCATCCTCAGACCAAAACATCAGCTGTGCACACATCTCAATTTGATTTGAAGATTACTTCACACATTCACACTCCCGAGAGGATAAACCCTGTTAATTAACCCTGTTCGTGTTTATCTCTCATCATCCCTGATGGTATGTTATAAATTTTATGTTGATCATTCCATCTGACAGTTTTGCATAATTTATTATCGTTATTGTTTGACAGTTAATATTGTTTTTAATCCAACTAAAAATCTGAATGAAGAAAAATCAAAGGAAGATGTCCATGTAATATTTGACGCCAGGTTTCCTCTCTGCTCTTCAGAAGGCTCAGCCCAACTGTGGCTGATGGGGAGGGAGCCAGAGCAGCGTCACTGACATCAACCTGGCCAACTTCAAACATTGTTATTTCCACTCCATATCCTTCAAAGTAGCATAAAGGGTCCAGAGGGACTTGGGGGAGAGTGATTGAGCAGAGAGCCAGCTTCCGTGCAATCTGCAATCTTCCCTGCAATGGCATGAGCCCCCCTCCCACCAGTCGGAGAGCAGTGATCATTCAGAGCTTCACCACTGTGATTAGGTTATTCTATTTCATTATCTTATTTGTCAGAAGGGCAACAATTTGTAAGTGTCTGTGTGCGGATGGGTCCATTCATCCATCTGCCCATTCATTTACGAGCCATCTTCCCTTTTTGTCTTCTTCTTCCTCCCCTCCGTCTTCCTTTGTTCCTTCCACAATCACAATTGCCGGCGCTCCATATTATCCTCAATTTAGCCAGAGAAGAACTGTGTTAAATTGATTTTTTGCACAACTCAGAAGGATGTAGTGGCTCACGAGGAGATCAATTTTCACTTCTGAAGAAGGATGGACTTTTAAGTTTTAACAATGACATAAGCATGGAACCCCCCCCCCTCGCCCCAACCCCCCAAAAAATCAATAACGAATTCAGTTATTTTGCAGTTTTTTTCTACACGTGAAAAAGCTACAGTGTTTCCTCACTAAATTGCCAGAACATCTCCATTTTATTGGTAATTATAAACCATCTTGTGCAGCAATCAACAATCAGAGTTCATTGTGTTCCGCTGAACACAGATGAGGTGATAAAACATCACGGCAACGAGAGGAACCTGCAGCAGCAGAGAGCAATCTGCCTCCAGATAAAGGATTATAGATTCAATTTATTTTCAGTGTAAAGTGAGTAGACAAGGCGGGGCAGAGGAGAAAATGACATCCGCTCTTAATTGACCATTGGCAGAGATGCAGCGGTGCATGTAGACCAATGTTCAAGGCTACATCGGTGCTGCAGTGTTCAATCTCCTCCTCCCCTCTTCCTCCCCCTCTCTTGGTTCTGTTGAATTTTTATGTGATCACAATAGTGCCATTAGCGTCACGGTACATTCACTTTATATTGGGTAAATACAAGCTACTGACTGGTAGCCCCCCCAGCGGAAATTAAAAGAGATTTAGAGGTCTTAGGTGCAGATCCTGCAACCAAAAACAGACACCAGACTGAACCTGAGCCAGATCTCGGGGTCTAAACTTCAGAGTTTCAGGCTGACTTTGAATGTAACCCTCAGGTCTGCACCTTCAGTCAGCCAATCCAAACACACTTTATACAGAAATGATCTTGGCTTCATCAAGTTCGAGAGATTTTTATTTCACTATATCCCTGTTTATGTGCATGACTGCCAAAAAAAAAAAAATATATATATATATAACGTAATATAACTGTTTTAACACTAACACTTTCTTATGCCATCACGTGTTTTCAAACCCACACAACTTTCATTTAAATTCCGGTGGCAGAGACAAATATGTCAGGCTGAAGATTGGGGGAAAATGTGCAGAAAGTGATGTGAAGTTCACTTGTGCTGAAAATTGCAGTTGTAAACACTGTAAATTAGTTTTGTGTTTTGCTTATGAAATGGTTTCTGAGAGCTGTAGTTAAAGTTGAAGCAGTTACAGTGAGGAGCTGAAGTGTGTGTTCCTAAAAGCAGATGAACTCTCAGTTCATTCATTCAAGAGATGAAAGCAGTGGAACTGTCACTTGACGTGTTAATGCTATAAGAAGCTGAAAGTGCAGTTGAAGTGTTGCAGTGCACCTTCAGCTGTGAAGTGTCACTTTGCTGAAAAAGCAATGACTGCGTCAAAAATGTCAGTTGAAACATTAGAGCTGAAAGTAGTTTAATTTTCCACTGAACACTGAAATTCAGTTCGTTCAGTGTCAAGTGATGTTCAAGCAGTGAAAGCAAATGAAGTGAGCTTTCATTTGAAAAGCTGAAAATAAACCGGAGCTTTTGAAATGTCACAGACAAAATCAGATTCAGTTGAATTTGAAGTGGAGATGTAAGGTCAGGGAAAGTGAAAGCAGTTAAAATATCAGTTGAAACGTCAGAGATGAAAGCAGCCGAAATGTCAGTTTGTCAGCTGTGAAGTGAATGAAAGCAGTAGAAATTTCAGCTGAAGTGGAAGAGATGGAGACAGTTCAAGTGTTGTAGCGTCAGCTGCTACGTAAGCACTGATAGCAACAATGATGTCAACGGAAGTGTAGCAGCTGAAAGCAGTTGAGTTGTCATTTGAAAAGTTGTTTGTTGTGTGCCGACAATAAAAATAGATAAAAGCAAGTCAAACTGTCAGTATGAAAAGGTAAGGTTTTAAGCAGTTGAAAGTAACAGGTGAAACAGTTTGACAGTGCTGGGTTGAAGTGATGAATCACATTTACTTCTGTTACAGAAACAAAGTTTATTTCAATACTTTTATTTTTTATTTCAGGATTTTTAAATATCAGTAATTTTACTTTTACTTAAAATGTTTTTATCTTGTTACATTTTGCTATATGAGAAGTTGCTGTTTTTGCTGTAGTATGTGTGTTTGTGGACTTTATATTGTTCACACAGCTCTGCGTCATCTCCCTTAGTGCTGCTTTATTCTGCTGTTTGATAAGTGTAAAGCTATTTAATTTATGTAGTTTAATATTGCCACATGAAGTCTCCAGACAGCCTTTCCTTTTCCAAGTCTTTCCCGGAAAATTTGAGTAAGACTATACTGAGGACGAAACCTGTATATTTATAATTGATAATCAGTTATCTGACTGTGAAGTGCCTGTCTGTAGAGATGGAACATAAGGGCTGTGTCTGGTTCTCAACTGGGAACGTTGAGATGATGTTCTGTGAGAATAGACATTGATATTTTAATTCTCTTTATTTTGAAGCCCAAAGGTGTTGTTTAATTTAATAGCTCAATCACATGACATTATTATTACTAGTCACAGTGCAGTGCTCATTCAGAATGTAGCCTGATGGGAGCAAAGGGCTCCATTAACAGAATATCACTGATGACATCACAGTTGATGTCAGGGTTCGGGTCTTCACAACTGTCAGAACATCTCTGAAACAGAACGACTCGTGGTGAGCAGCGGTGAGTGGGCGACTGACTTCTTTACATGTCCTGTATGTAAAATATATAAGGTCTGTAACTTTTCCACTGCTCTGAACAGAACAGAGGAATCAGGTTTGATGATAACACAGGACTGTGTCGAATTTGGAATCGCCTCTCTCCACATCCATCATTCTGTCTGTCTCTCTCTCTGTCTGTCTGTCTGTCTGTCTGTCTTCTGCTTTGTTGTTTTTCTTCCATTCAACCACTCTGCCTCTGCAGCGACAGCGGCTGTCTGGATTGGCGGAGAGCTAAATTGCTCAGTGTGAGCTCGGTCACGGCTCAGCTCTCCTTGAGATAATGAAATGACAATTAATGGGAAAGCTGTTGCCGTTCGCTCGTTTGTTCACTCACTAGTAGAGCAGCAGCATGTGGGGACAGAAATCACTGCAGTCATGACAGACTCTGGAAACTGCCCAGAAATCGTTTTCATATTGAATAGCTCCTGATGTGATGTCAAAAATCCATGTAAATTTAGAAAAAATAAAGTGGAGTCTATGACTCTCTGGCCATCTTTCAAAGAAAGTATAATTCTGTTATCAAATTTCCATGCCAATCTCACTTCCTCCCTTTTATTGGCAGTTTATTTAATAGAGAGATATCACTGAAGGTCTAAATGTCAAAAATCACAAACCATATATTTTCCATTGCTGTCAAAAGCCACTGCAGCTTCAAAGCCATGTAACCCATGTAAAAGAAGGTATATCCTTTATTAACCCGGTGACACTTAAGTCAATACATTATTTACCATAGCCAGAGGCCTACACAGCACAAAGCCACACTGACTCTGGCCTACTGAGATAGTCCCTGACAGAACAGCGGGAGACACATATATTTCCTTGAAAAGAAAGAGCGAAAGCAGACCCTTGGGTATCTCATAAAACGTCTCTCCAATATGTGCTGTGAAGTGGAAACTCGAGCCATCCCAAAAACCACAGAAAAAAAGAAAATCTATATAATTTCTGTCTGCAGCTTTTGTCCATTAATGCATTTTTCTCTCTAAGTCAATACACGTGTAGGATAAAATTGCAAATGTATAATCATTATCTCAGTAGAAATAACACTTGCCCATGGAATAGGAATGAATGTGGAATATATGTGGTTTTGTTTTTTTTATAAGATTCCAGGCAAGCATTTTATATTTTCTCTCTCTAAATACAATTAATTTAACTGAAGGCAAAAGCTAGTAAAGTATGACATGAAATTACATCATCTCTGTTATTATGCTAGTGGGGGATGTGATAAAGCTGTGTAATCTAGTTAGCAAAGTCCCTGTTTGCATGGCTGATCAAGCTAAGCTTCTTGTGAGTGCATTACAATGTAAAAGCTCAGTTAAGTACACAAAATTAAAACAGAGCAGAGTTGATGCAAAAACGTGGAGCACACTGCAGCACGGGAAGGTTCAGAGTACCTGGTACTGGTTGGCCTTTGCAAGCTCCTGATTGGCTGACTCCACATTGGACGATGCGGTCTGGATGTAATCTTCGATGCTGTCTGAGAAAACAAAGAGCAAATTTGTTAATGGGTCATTTTCCCTCCAGCATTATGACAACACTGCTTTCAAAAGAATTAGCAAAAAAAAAAAAAAAAAAGAGTTAATGAAATAACACTAATCTTCCCATAATGCAACGTGATTGCATCTGTCATTAGATACTCCCTGCCTGGTAAATACACATCTTTCAAACTCTATGCCTCCAGGTTGTAAATGCAGGGTTAGATTAACCTTCTGGAACCATTTCTTCACAAACATCTGTCCAGCACTCTGCCAGATGAGCACAGGCCGTAAAGGCCTTTGTCCGGGCACAGTGGAACCAAACCTGGCAACACTGCAGTCACTGAACCCAGCTTTTGGTTGCTAAGGAACCCCCACCACCCCACCCCACCTCTCCCCCGACACCACCATTTTTATGTGTCTGTTTCAATTAATATTAGTGGTGTTGGTAGCATACGAACAGCCTTGGTGGGCCTGTGTCCACCCACTTTGAGCTCAGGCCCATCCAGTCTTCAAGCACAAACAATGAAAATCAGTGTATTTTTAAAGCTCCATACAGTCTAAAGGTAGATGTCCATGTGTTGTTTGATTATAAAGCAGGTCTAGGTTCTATATTAATACTGTTAAAGCATCAATGCAGCATCATTCTGTATTCAGAAACTGAGCCTTAAAACCAGCCGTCAGAACGTCTGGAACTTTGTGATGTCACAACAAAGCAGCCACCACCGCCAACTACGGTTCCAGCATGGCCCACCTGGACCCACCATCCAACCCTGCAGGATTTAGTTTCTCCATGTGTTTCCCTGAAATCTGTTGTATTCTTATTGGATCTTTATTAAGGACCTCTTCAGTTTCTAATCTTTTTAACTTCTTTACTGATCGCTTACTTTTCGTGTTGTTTTATGGTTTACACTTGGAGAAGGCGCAGTCTACCCTACGTGGTTTTCAGTCCATCTCCTGCTAATCGACTCTCCAAATCCCACTCCACAGCTGCCTGAGCACCTCACCAGTGTCCCTGATGGTCTGCGATTCTGCCACTGATGCTCTACTGGCTGGCCTCCATGCACACTGGCACTGTAGCAAGCAGGGGCTCCGCTACTCCTGTATAGGACCTGGACACTGCGACACTGTGGATGGTCACCCTGTTGCCACCAGATGGTCCAGCTGTTTGCAGTGGAACCAACCAGACTTAAGGCTGCCGTGTACAGCTCCACACCAAATGCAGCCGGAGGATTTCAGGGACCTTTAAATATTCTCCAGATAATGTGACATACTGAAAATAAATTATTTATGTGTCTGGGTCTTGTTTCCACTCAATAATGATTCTGTTTTTAGTAAAACTATCAGGTCAGGACATCCTGTCACTGAGCTGCTACACTGCTCAGAGCCGAGGAACAGGAGCTTCTCAAGCTACCTGGTTCCAGGTAGCCTCAAGTGTAAATATTGGCTAATCCTGCTGCTTAAGTCTGCATGACAACACAGAAAAAGCTCACATTCAGCTGCCATTCTCAAAGCTATTGCCATCTCTCTAAGACAGGAAGTAGAGATACACCTGGATACTAATTCATTACTTTGTTACTTTTCATTAGCAGTTGACTGTAAGCAGCCTAGGACTTGAACTGGACATGAGGTTAAGCCCTAGTGACACATTTCCCAAGATGACTGATATCCTACAGGCCCTGGTCCCCCTACATGACATAGTGGACAGTGATATTACTCACAGCGTCAATGCTAACACACACTGAACTTTATGTACACGTGTATCTGTACACATAGTGTAACACTGATGCTAGGAGGTTACTGTCTGCCAGCTGTGAGTGGTTGTTGTCTTACATGAATGGTTACCACGGTGTGAAAGGCTACATTGCCATGTCCTGCATCAGGTGTTGTGATTTTGCCTATAATATCATTCCTGTCGACACCATAGGTTGGTAGCTTGTTGCTTCTTTAACTTTGGACGAGCTAGTAGTTTCTAGTTATTCTAGTTGTTCGAGTTATTTCCAGACTTCATGCTAAGCTAGGCTAACCCGCTGTGCACTTAACATGCAGACATGAAATTGATCGGGTTCTCACGTTGTAGCCAAAACTGAGGTCGCAAGATACAGCCTGACCTTGCCCGGCTAGAACTTTAGAGTTATCTGAATGAACTACATTTATTGTATTCAAATGGTAATGTTGCAGTTTTAATAGCTAGATAATATTTAGCCCTCCAAGACTAAATGAACTCTTTTATCATACTTGTGTATCCCACATTGCTTAGTCATCCTTAGTTCAATAGAAGGACTGCCTTTTGTTCATACTGTTACTCTGCCTTGACAGCACATTATGTGACAGCCCACCCCTCTGCGTTACCAAGGACTTCTGGTCTAATAGCTTCCACCGTTAAAACAGCAGGCCCTCCTTTAAAGCTTGTCGATACACAGAAGTTAATGGGACGAGACAGAAGTTGTTTAATGAACTGAATGGTCCAAAATATTTGCGCTCACTTATACAGATATTTACAACTGGCTGATAAGAGAGTGCTATTGATTGTTTTGGTGTTGAGAGTGTACAGAGATGTGGGCAAAGACTTCTCACAGTTTCATGTAGCGATGGCCTCTGATAATTACTGCACCAGTTGAGCTTGTAGAGAATTAACTTTTGAACCTAACAAGATCAAGAGGTTGGGTTAATGAATTGTGCTGATTGACTAGATGCATTTTTTTCTTTTGGTGAGTTAGAGAAGACAGGAATACATGTTTATATTCACCAGCTGCTGAAATAGGATTCAGTCTTTTTCTGCCTCTGTTGTTTTTCATGAGTGATTGATTGATATTCGTCTTTTAAGGGTAACCTCTCTCTAAATCCACTTTTTCTTAATATAGTCCAACAACTCCTCCACTCTGAGCAACCGTACAGGTTGTTTTTTCAATCCTCTGATACGACCCATAGGAGTGTCTGCTGAAATAGTTCCCTTACCCCGGCAAGCATACTGGACCTCGGTCTTCATTGTTACAATAACAAACATGCAGATAGTACACAACAGTGTAAGGTGTTTTTGTATCGTGGTTTGGATTAAAATAAGTAATTCCTTTTGGATTAGATGATTTTTGTTGTCATGGTTACAATAACAACGTGGTTAACTTGTTGAAACGTCATGGATAATAGAAACAATATAAACAACTTGTTTCACATGGGAATTGAACACTGCGCCCCTGTGTCATATTCATCCATCCACCACAACCTCCTCCTGACGTGGACTTTGTCTCTCTTTATATCACATCACAGCACTTTTCCCTTTGCTCCTGTCATAATTACAACAACCACTAGATGCCACCTAGCAACAAAACCTAACTATGATGTCATAAGATGGAGGCCATCTTGGACAATACCAACCATCCTCTCCACAACATTCTGGCAGGAGAAGCAGCTGCAGCTGCAGCAAACATCTCATCTAACTGCGCTGCAGAACAGAGAGGTTCAGGAGATCCTTTGTTCCCACTGCCATAAGGATATACAACACCTGAGCCAAAGGAAGTCGACTAATATAATTATTATTGTTTATTAATTATTAACTGTTTTTATTATTATTATTATTATCAGCAATGAGCTAATGGACACATGAATTTCCCCTAGATAAATAAAGTAGATATCTATCTATCTATGTTTTTTTTTACAGATCACTATTTTTGTTTTTCCAGAAAAAAAAAATCATAATTCTATCTAACCAATCATATCCTGAGACACTCTATCCTATCCTACGAGACGAGTGTCACGTTCACCTCCCACTCCAAAACCGCTCATCATATAAAAACAGCAATCAACTATTGGGAAGTTTAGACAGAATGCAACTGAGTGTAGCAGTGGTAGACATTTAACATCTACTACCTGCAGGGTGTTAAGTTGCCCTTTTAACTCTAGTCTTGTTTTTGTCGGGGGCATTATGCACATTACGATTACAGCACCAATAAATGACTTTTATGTTTGAATGAAATTTCAGGAAAACAAATTTGAAATTAGATTTTCCATTAAATTTATGCTACAGTTAATGCATCTAATCATGAACATTTGAACACATGAAAATGTTTCTGTGCTCAATGAAACACACAGCTTTGTTTATGTGTGGCTCTTGGGATGGCAGTGTTGGTTGGTTGTCAGTCCTCCACTTCGGTCCTGACTTAAAAATCTCAACCATTATCCATTTAAAATTTGAATTTGTCCGACACTTTGGTCAGGACCAAACACCTAAACAGATGTTTCTTTTCCATGGTCAGCCTCAGTTGTATGGTGTGTTTAGTGCTAATTAGCAAATGTTAGCATGCTAAACAGGTTAAACAAAAATATTTCAATAATAATCCATGTTAGCCTGCTCACATTAGCATTTAGCTTGAAGTACCACCAACCCTAAGCACAGCCTAATAAAACTGTTAGCGTGGCAGTAGTCTTAAGAACAAATATTAAAGGTTACCTGTGTGTATCCTTGAGGTCTAACAAATGACTTGATTGAATTTCCATCCTCATACAAGCTTTGCAAGGCTCAACGTTTTAAGATTTTGAAACCTGCATTTTTACAGTCATGTTTATTAGCTTGCAGTCTTCTTCTTCTCTGCCTTTTTTGTTGTGGTTATTCATGGTCCCCAGAAGATGAGTCCTATCATGGCAACACTTTGACTTTAAAACTTGACCATCAGGACAAAAAAATCTAATACAGACATTTCCAACAAACTGAGAAAATTCATGCTCTCAAAAGGATGAACCTTTTCACTCTATGAGCTTCACTCTGGCACCACCCTCAGGCCAAACTGAGTTTGATTCATTCAAGTCTCAAAGGGGAGAAACCCTTATAAGGACCCATTGAGATTTCTGGTATCTCCTTCTGAACAAATTCATTCATACGTTCCAAACAGGCCAAACAAACACAGATCTGTAGTAGATGATAACATCCAATAGAAACAAGCCTCTAGCATCCAATCCCGGATTTTAATCACCAAAAAACAAGACAATGTTTTCTTTTTATGTGCACAAATGAATATGTTTTTAACACCTCTTTTGTACGTTGTGCCAGAGTTTACGTCTGTCTGCTAAACCTTGATGATTGTGTATCTTGACTCACAGGCTTTAATATAGTGTGTCCTTAGCCAGCATGAATAAACCATAAAAGCACTAATCCTTCCTTCTTGAGCCTATTCATTTCTTTGTATTACCTGCTGCTTTTGCAACAAACGCCTCCACAGCAAACACATTATTCATATCCGCCACTACACCAAGAAAGCCTTGTTCAAAAAAGGCCAAAGGCAATTTCAGTGCATCTCTTTTTAATAGGTAGAGGTCCATTATTGTGAGGCTCTGTAATGATCAGATTAGACTTCTGCTGTGGTATAATGCTATGAACTCTGCAGTCTTCTGCAGTCCTGTTCTATCTCTCTGTTCATCCATTGGGGTGGGAGTACACTATGTTCCTCCACCTTCTATGTCCAAAACACCATATCAACAGTCTTTCACATGCAAATGACAAAATGGCTGAAAGACTCTTCATGCATGTGTGATTGTCCTGAACGAGCACGAGATGTAGCACAATTCACAAACAGAAGAAACTAAGATTGCTGAGTGCTATGGAAGGAAGTGTTCCATTTATTCTATAGCTGTGTCCCAATTCAGAGGTCTCCTCCTTCAGAGGCTGCATTTAAAGACCAACTGAGTCACAGCAGCGCCACTAGACTCATAGTCTCATTTCAAAGGCTCCTTCAAATGTGTCCAACAGGTGGATCCTTCATGGCCCAACTTATTCCAAGATTCATTGCACACCAGTAATGAAAGCTAACAACACTGACAGAGAGCCTGAGGATTACACTGTGAAATGTAAGTACTGTGTTTCAGCTCAGTTCAACAGCTTACGGTACAACTGTAAGGGTAAAAATAAGTTTGTTAGGTAATGCGCTTTAAGTGAAATCTCTAGCTCTGTATGGTTTGTGTCCATCTCTGGTGCCGCAACGCAGCAGTAAGGGCTGGAACAGCTGGTGACACAAAGAGAAAAAATCCTCTGTGAACCAGACCGTCTCATTTCAGTTCAGCCTTCGCGGTCTACGACGTAGGTGAAGGGACACACCTTATATCTGACTGAGGAAGTGAGATGAGTGACATTCCTCTGGGTTACCTCAGTTTTTACCAGTAGGTTCCTGGATCTTTCCTTGATTCTGTATGTTAAGCTACAAGCTACAATGGAAGGTATTCTCAAAATACACACCGTATTTATGTGGGTTGTTCAAGTTTGGTGAAGTTCGCTATAAGAAGTATTAAGTATTTCAAACAAAACCTTTACACAAATTGTGAAAAGTGTACATATGTGTCTCAGCACCATGTATTTTTTTTTTTTTTTTTTAAAGAACCTTTTTATTTGAAGGATCCGAACTAAAAATGAAAGTTCACCCTAAATCCTGAAGCTAGGTGATGTTGTGTTCAGCTCTCTGTGGGTAAGAGATTCAAGCGTGATGCAGTTCTCAGTGAGGTCTTGGGTCTCAGTGGATGTTTTATCTTCGGCAGCTGATGGAAAGCACCTGCCCTGGTGTGACATCATTGATTTGGGTGTGGCTGGAGGCAGAGCACACTTGAAAGTTTGAGAACGGTCTGAGTCAGCCTGACTCTAAAGGGTATTTAAAGGGCATCTACATTAGCCTGATTGAAGGCAGCAGACAAAAGGACACTCTACAACAAAAAGGCACCAATTAGAACAAGTTATTGCTCCTCTTTCCCTCCAGAAAACCACCACAATCAAATACACACACGTTTCTACACACAGTTTTTACACTTAACAGTTTAGCGCCATAAAGCCAGATGTACATAAAGCATTTAGCTCTTTGCTATTGTTCTTATATTGTGGGCTCTAACCTTTCCAGTTACAGCCTACGATGGTGAACACACAGTTCTATGAGGAATCCTGCTCAGAAATGTTTTTGATTCATAATTTTTATGGACAAGGGCGACATTAACTTTAAAAACACCTTAGTAGTAGCATAATAATGTAAATGAGGCTTGTGTGTTCAACAAGGTGGAGGACTTGATGTAAAAAACATCTTGTCAAAGGTAGAGAATTAGCATATCATTCGCTAGTTATTGGATGTTAACACAAGAGCTTTGCTAACCTCTTCAACTCCAGTGTCCTACCGCCGTGTTATTACAAAGACATGTTGAATGTCAGCATTGCTCTGATCTGCAGAACAGTTTTAAAGGTCATTAAGTAGCAAAACTTTAAAGTATGGGGCGTCGCGTAGTGCAGTGGGCCACGCAGGTGCCCCATATATAGAGGCTACAGTCCTCGCTGCAGCTGGCCCCCGGTTCGACTCCTGCTTCGGACGGCCCTTTCCTGCGTGTCATTCCCCCTCTCTCTGCCTCCCCATCTCCTGTCTCTCTACTGTCCTGTCCATTAAAGCCACAAAAAAGCCACAAAAAAAAAAACTTTAAAGTATACACTCACAGGGAATGTATATATAATGTAAACAAAGTGATGCTGAAAGACTTCTTTGAAGGTGCAGTCATACTCTACATGTTTGAAGCTACAGCTAAATGATGGGTGTCTATTTTTAAATTTAAGAGTATGTCTTATTTTTATAGTCATCCAATCCTATGAAAAGACCAAAAGCAACAACTACCAAGTATTATGTGTCTAACAAAGTCTGATATAAATATAAAACATGAAAAAACACATATAAATGTTCCACAGTACACAGAGTGACATGTTATTGTTTGAGTAACTTTTATTAAGAATTAGAGCATCCAAAGGTTTTTGGAATTTATGGATTTAGTTAAAGCTCAGTCCACAGAGAAATACACACAGCCTGTATTCATAAACTGAGCCTTAAAACCAGCCGTCAGGAACTTCTGGAACTTTGTGATGTCACAATAAAGCAGTCACCAAACCCCGCCCACCTGGACCCACCACCCAACTTTGCAGGATTTGGTTTCTCTGAGTGTTTACCTCAAATCTGCTATATTCTTATTGGATCTCTTAAGGATTCTTAACTGAGTTTTGTTCAGCCTCTCCAATGATCTGTTCAGCTTAGAGTTGGACCTCTGAGAAAAGAATGAGCTGCTTGACGTCTTCGTCTCTGTAGCTGCTGCCCAGGGAAAGTATATACGCTGGCGTAAGACCACCGTTGGTCCCTTCCACGCACTCGCATTCTCTCATTTGCAGTCCCAATTTATCGCATTCAAAACTCTGCACTTTCTGGTGGTGATGGAAGGGTGGATTGCTCCTTCTCCTTCTGGTAATCCACTTATAATATATAATATATATTATATGTATGAACGTATCCGACTCTAGCTGTCCCAGGTGCCCTCTCACCTACCTCCCTGATGTCCCTGATGGTCTAAGCATCCGAACATCGTGAGCAGGAGGCAGGGGCAGCTTTGGGCTTTGGGCAACACTGTGGGCAGGGACCCCGATGCCGCCAGCTCCAGTTTACAGCTCCATACCAAATCCAAGCTGGAAATCCAGCATTTTAGTCCAAATTTGTCTGTCCAGCTCATTTCAGCGCCATCGCCACTAGGGCAGAGTTTTATCAAGCGACAGTAGTAAGCTACAACCCATTACCTGTGGCATCACTCAGAAACAGAGAGAAGCTCCAGAGAGAAGCCTGAGAGAGGAGATGTAAAACTCCACTGAGATGGTTTTTGGAGAAGAAGAAGAAAATATGGAGCTTTAAAAAAAAAAAAAAAGATTTACGTCTCCAGTGGGAACCAGTTGACGTAGGGCTGGATCAGAAAAGGACATGCAGACTAACCGAAAGGCTAAATTTTTGGTTTTGTTTTTTGTGGGATTTGACAACAACAACAGAGAAAAAAACCAACCTTATCTTTCAAAGGAGTCACTGGGGACACTAAAGATTTAAGGGTTAAATTAGGTTCCCAGTTATTTATTTGGCCACAAAACAAACTGCAGATGAACTGACTGTCCTCCGGCTTCTGCTTCAGGTGTTTTGCAGAAACAGCATAAAGATTAAAATTTGGAAAGTCATCTGCCTTATCACACCTTTCACTTCTTCCCAGAATTGATCTACAAACCCATCACAACATTATTTTTTCAGGTTTGTCTATTTGTCTGTGTCGTTGTTTGACATTATTAAGTAAAAACCAATTCTCCAGTGAACGCTGCTGATGGAGCCAGACGCCGCTGATGGCAGATTTGTGACCCAGCAGCAAAGCCTTTATATCTGCCCTATATCTTTGCACTAAGTTTCATTCTTTTTGCCAAGTCTGAATCACTGCAGGGTGCAGAGAGCCATTTACAGATATCAGGGCGTCTAAATGGATTTTCTCTAACTGGCCACTGTCTGTGTGAACCCACAGCATTTTGCTTGTCATCACAGAATCTGTGGCAGCAGCGAGGTGGAGGTTAAAAAGTTTGTTTTGCCCAGCAGAAATTTTAGAGCTCGTGTTATTAATCAAGCGCATCGAATTAAAAAATTACCACAAAGGTTATCCATGCTAACTGAGTCAGGGATAACAATGTAAACAATATTCAACACACTCACACACACACACACACTCGAACCATGGATACACATCTTACCTATGGCGTCTCCTTGTTCATGGACCATACTGGCCAGATCCTTCATGATCTGACTGACGTCCAGCATGTCTCTCTGTGGAGGAAACACACAGTGAACATGAATGTTACGACACCATTCAACACAGTGTCTGAGGTCTATTCATGGAGATGAGCTGGGAACACATTACGTTGTGTGTTTTGTCACATATTCAAAAATGAAACACTGATCTTCTCCGGGTGTCACCTTTAATGTCACGCTAACAGGTTATCAGGCTAATTAGCTTCAGACACAGGGTGTAAATTGGTGTGAGTAAACTGAAAGATTTGCCCAGTCTGTACATTGCTAGCTAGTTTACAAATAACATTAGTACAGCCACTATATTGGCTATGTGGGTGATTAAAAACAGACAGTGCAGTTTTCACAATATATATATACATGGGTTGTGAGTGTCGCTCTGGTTTGGTGAACACAGGATTGATTCATTTTGATGTGTGTGAAACAAAGATGAGAATCAGCACCTGTAAGTCTGAGGCCAGAAAACTAATCAATGTCTTCATTATCAGTAATTCTGATGATTGTTTTCTTGATCAATTCATTTATTCTTTATTACTATTTGGTCTATTAAATGTTAAAAAATAGTAAGCAGAAAGAACACATGGTGATATCCCATCAGTCCAAACCCTATGGTTTCATTTCCGATCCAGTTTTACTATCAAACAAGAAAAGATGAACTTTTCTTTGTTTCGTTTAATCGACTCATCAATTTATCATTGATTTGAATTGTGTTTCCTATTTGTTGTTATTGTTACCTACTAAAGGTCTTTGTCAGGGTCTTGGTTCAATTTTTTTAAGAGAAAAAATTTAATGAAATCTTAGGTAAAGATTAGATAAAGAAGAAAATAAAATACGGATTAAATACCTTCATCATTTCAAGTCCTAATTGTAAAAAAAAATCTTATTTTTGTCCACAGTGATCTCCATATAGAGACAGTCCACACGTATGTATCACATGTGTAACTATATATGAATTGGTACAAAGAAAAGAAATGTAATTTCCTGTCTCTTTAAATGACAAATTCAGTGGATTTGTGTTTAATCCTAAATGCTGTCTGTTCACTAGAAGTAAAAAAAAAACAAAAAAAAAAACAAATAAAAATCTGGTCAACATTTTAGTTCAGTTATTTCTGTGTCAGGGTGCAGAGCAAGCTAGTGCAGCTATGGCTGACCACAGTTAATTCTCCACAGCTTTGAATCTGCTCTCAATGTTTCAACTCAAAGCAATATGAAAGCTTCTAAAATCTCTGTCTATCTCCTGCTCACAGGTCCCCCCTTTCTTCCATTATGGCTCTGTGCAATCACAGCTGCGTTTGTGTAGCCTAACCCACTGGGCCATCCATCACAGGTGGCGGAGATTGCTGTGGAAACTGGCAGCCATCCTGCCACTTGGCAAAAACCATTTGAATGGAGCCAAAATGGCCCCTGGCAAACCTCGTTATGCCTGACTTTTTTTTTTTTTTTTTTTTTTTTTGCATTTATCTTTGGGCAACCCTGTCTATCATGCTGTAGCAGAATAACAAATTTATTTTACCTGGCAAAGCATTGGGCAATCAGGGCTCATTTCATCATAATGACAGAACAGTGTGTAACCAATTTAGCAAATAATGTGTGGAAGTGAATGTGAATAGGCAACGAGAGAGAGGCACACACAAGGAGAAGGCAGGGATGTGATGGGCTGGGACCCCTGCCTGAGGGCTGAGTGGGTGGCCAGGCTTTGGTCCAACACTGTGCCCTTTTCCATATTTCATGGGCTTTAAATTCTGCTCATGGCCAATCTAGCAGGCACTGGATCCTGGCACCGGGCTCAACACCAGAACTGGAGATTTTTCTCCAGGTTTTTCAACAGGTTTACTACAGGAGGCTCTTATCAGCCAGGGCAAGTATATCATCGCTACCTGCAGATAGTTTCTACTTCACCCGATCAGGTCTATGTGGTTTCTCAACACCTTCAGCCTGGTTCACTTAGTCTGGACTCAAGTAAAACATGATACAGTCCTCACATGTCACAAATCCACACTACATACTAATGCTACACAGGTTTCTAGTCTGTGGTGTGTTCATGCTGACAACCAGACGGTAAGCATGCTGGATTTGTGAGTGTGATTCTGACGGATACTACTCTCCTACAAGCAATCACCAGAGAAAGTAAAGAATCTGAATGAAGACATTTTGCTTTCTATCAGTGAAGTTTACACTTCAGGTAACAGGTGTTGTATCATCTTCTGTTAGTATAAAGCAGTAAGGTATGTTGATTTGTTTGTATACTAACTAACAGCTATAACAGTAAACTATACTGTACTACACATATGTAGTTCATACTGTGTAGAAATGTAGCATTAGTCCTGGGTGTCCTTCAAAACCTTTTGATATTATACTTATATACATACAATAGGCTGCACATGGGAGTAAAACTTTTAGATTTACTTTAGTTTTATTTTTAAGCTCTGTCTCTTTAATAATAATAACAACAACAATAATAATAGTAATAATAATAATAATAATGCTAATATTAAGAATAACTTTATTTATACAGCACTTTTTTAAACAAAGTAACAAAGTGCTTTACAAAAAAAAAAGTTAAACCAGATAAAAGAAAAATCCAAAGTACCTGAGCAGAATAAAAAGAGTAGAGCAGCATGAATTAGAAAAAACAAAACATCTCATAATTATGCAAAAAAGTCAGACAGGAAGTTAAGAGAGGAAATAAAATATGTAAAAACAATAATTAGGGATAAAACACCCTCAAACGTGTTTGTGTGAATAAACAGCCAATCACCAGCATTATTAGATCTTGGTCTAAGCATGCTGCATACTGATTGGCTCTTTGACATTGATGAGATTTACTCATTTACTCCTTAGGTTTCTACATGAGGTATCGAATGACGAGGGATTTTTGATCCTTGATAGTGTCAAACTATTATTCATTATTGAAGTTGTATACCCAGTATAGGTCTGTAGTATAGGCTTACTACAAACTGACCAAGAGGTGTAAACATCAAGTCATGTGACTGTCACTGTCAACGCTACATGTACCTTTGTTGGATAATTACTTACTAAGGCTCCGATCACACTCTGTCCATCAGATCACAAATCTGATGGAATTCTTTCCTGTAAGTATTTCCGTGTTGCTTTAATGAGACAGAGCAGCAGCTAGCTTCAGTGTGACTGCAGTGTAACTTCAGCTGCTGTCACCACGAGGACAGAGGAGACAGATCGTGGACGAATGAAGATAATCAGACAGTGAGTGGATATTTCCACCGTGTTCGCAGACACAGTTACTCTGTATGCCTCTAACAGGAATGTTTCAACACCTTTGGCATAACACAACAAACATTTGGCTGAAATGCATCTCAAAGCAGAAATGGTGTGAGGAATCACATTTCACTCTGTCGAAGCTGTTTCTTACATTTACACTTAGCTCTGAAAATTACTGAAACTTTTGTCTTTGTTTATTCTTTTTTTAATGTTTATGATTTTCCTGGTGCTTAAAAAGATCATATGAGGTATTAGGTGGTTATGAACATTACATTAGTCCAGACTCGAACCCATGGCCGCTGCAGTCAGGACAAAACTTTCATGGTACGACATCAATCACATTATTATTGTAACGAAGGTCCACCATAGGAAATGTATCACTGTAATCTCTCTGGGTGGTATCAGAGGGTTGTTCACACAGGAGACACAGGTCCTTAAAAACTCCCACTTCCAGGTTCCTGACAAGTTTTTATCCAAGTGCCATTAGAGATTAAACTGCTGATTATGCAACAGTTAGGTCCAACCAAGAAATCTGATTGGACGAGTCATTCCATGAGTGCTGATATAGAGTACAACAGCACTGGGACTTTTAACTACGCTTTACAGGTGTTCTATTAACCGCTAATCAGCGTCACATTAATGGTCGTTATCTCTCTTAGATTGTAACAAACAAAGATGAAAATATTTCCAGAAATAACATTTGAATTAAATGATGTCTGGTCGTCAGAGGGTGAAGGAAGAAGCCTGGATACTTCAGCGCACACCTGAGGTAACGAGTAGACAAAGTAGCTAGCTAGTGTGCACTGTGCAGGTCAGGAAAAGGTTTATGTGTTGCTTAGCAACAGCCCAGTACGAGTCCAGCTGCCGAACTATTTGTGTTGATGAAACCAAATAAATGATGAAATTAACAAACAAGTCATAATCTGTTGTTGCTTATTTAACTGATCTGGCGCTCGTAGAACTGTTGTGTAAAAGCTGCCTTCGGCCTCGTACCTGTGACCGAATCACAGCTGTGCTGATATTCAGTACATCTCTCCCTCTCGTCTGATGTTGCTTAAATATCAGTAATATATCAGCAATATAAGTACAAACCCATATCCTGTCTATGTGCAATAATAAACCTGTAATATTATCTGTGCAATATAACTGAGTACATGTACAATTTTCTGAGGAAATTCCTCTTTTAAATTTTTCCTTTAACACACCATGTTAATCCTCAGAGTCAGAGAATATAGACAAGATGAAGTAAAAGGGCGATGTTTTATTTTTTGGGCCAGTGCTCTACAGCTGACTCTCACCTCCCTGTGAGGCTCACATGCAAAACATGCACTTTCTGTATAGAGATCAACAATGTCACAATTGGCATGATGCAGCCAACGAGTCAAACCTGTCGTCAGCGCTGACTCTCACCTCTGACGTCTCCCGTCAATCCTGCCACTGTTGTTATTGTGTGACTGATGAAAAGAACACACTTGAACAAATGAAAGGCTCCAAGGCTCTTTATATTTCCATGAGACTAAAATGTCAGACTGCGATTCAGACATCTGTTTCATCTGACACTGGGCCACTGCAGAGACAGCAAAAACACAATTAAACTGGGGGCCAAGATAAAAAAAATAAATAAATAAATAAAAAAAAAGAAGTCACAACAACAAGCCTGCTGGCAGCGTCTGACTGACACCTCAGTCACCAGCACTGCATGTCTCACATTTCTCCAGTCATAAGGATCTGTCTGATACCAGCTGATAGCAACACTTGTGGGAGAGATCGCGGCTCGATTC